TCTTCCAGATTTCTCATTCAATGAATTTACGTTTTCTTCCAGTCAGTCGGTGAATATGCTGCTATAAATAGGTCAGCCTTGAATCCACTAGCTTTATCATTTTATTCTTCACAATCATCTTAGCACTAGAAACTTACACATAGCAGAATGACTAACTTCTTTCTCTTCCTTGCTGACGTGAAAGCGCCATTTCTTTCTCTTCCTTGCTGACGTGAAAGCATGGCGCTGTAGTACCACCGTTGAAGTTCATCTACTGAACTTTTGGGAGGCAGAGACAAGCACCGGCGGAGGAATGTAAAGAGAGGCGGCGAGCTGACACCTTCCTCTTAAGGTAATTCCAGCGAAAAAAATATTCAATCGCTTTCCTTTATCTTGAAGATATTGTGAATTTTATAATTTACGCCACGATCAAACATTTGCTGTAAACGTTTTCAAGCAACACTTATGCAAGCCACCGTCAACGTCCACCGTCTGAATACCTTCAAATACCTTTTCAAGACTAGTTCGATGTAGGCGGTGAGCAGTTGAGGCGGAGCAAGCTCAACTTCAACCTGTGTAACTCTCCCATGTCAATGAGTTTCAGTGCCTAAGACCTTCGCCAAAATAACAGAACCGGTGAACCCAATTCCCTGAGAGCTGTTCTGGTTCCGTGATTCTGAGTAGCTGCTAGGCTTGGCAAACACTAACAGATCTTCCTGGCCACTCTCTCAAACTCTACTATTCTCACTTTACAATCTAACCCTTTTTAATATTTTAAATATTCATCTTCTTTCCACAGACATTATTGGTGAATAAACCGCTATTAGGGGTTCTGTTGATGACTCCTCACCAGGGCCGGCTTATTCAGACAATGGGCCTTGTGCTCAAAAGAACAATTTTTAAAATTGTTATTATATTCTTAAAATTTGAAAATTAGGGCCCTAATTATGTATGTTTTTGATAAAACAAGGCCCTAGTTCTTTAAAGAATTTTTTTGAAAAAATGGAGGACCTAGTGCAAAAGCACTGCCAGCACTTGTGTAAAGCCGGTACTGCTCCTCACAAGGCAAAGAATCAGCAGGTTTGTCTTAACTTTGCTTATAAAGACCTCTACGATATCATAAATCAAGTAGAACATGTTATACATCAAGTACTTGGTCTGAAATTCGCAGTGATTTATCTATTTCCTTGAGTTTTTTCCTTTCATAAACAATTGGAACACGTACATGTTGACCTTAACGTTGTTGTTGTTGCAGAGAGAGAAAAAACAAAAACTGTAGGAGGTGTTCCCCTTTTAATTTCACACAGTTGACTTGCGGAAAAGAATGTGAGCTTGTAACGACATATAATGTAACTTTTGCGCCACACATTGAAATGAGAATATATTTTCCTGTGATCAAAAGAAGGCAATGGCGTCTCTGGAGATGATATGCCTGGAGTTAGCATCCTTCCAGCCATGATCAATGTCGATGGTGATGAGAATGAGAATGAGAAAGAGCCAGCTATTAAAACAACCATATTAAAACAACCAAAGGTGGTGTATTAGCCACAAACTCTATGTTCCCTACGTCTTCCAAGGCACCTGAGAAGGCACACAATTCATAGGTGGAGGAGGATGCAGTTTCTTATTCACAAAAGCAGCTACTAGAATAATGCTCAATCATGTTTGTTATATTAAATTTTTTTTTTTGGTAAAAATGTTTGTTATTTTTTTATACCACCTTCTCATTGCTACTTCAAAAAAAAAACTATAAAGACAATCATATTTGAATTTCCTAATCGTATTTGGCCAATTATCAATTAATCATTCAGTCTACGTATTATAAATGATGCTCTGGTCTAGGTTGCTCAAATATCATACACTAATTGGCATTACATTCCTTACATAGCAAACAAAAGCTGCAATTCTGGTGGAACCACTAATTTACGTGACGTAATAAAATCTACACCAATTGGGAAGCTTATTTAGATTTTAGAGTGGCCGGTTCCCCCTTCCAACAAGATTTATAACACAGCTACTAATGTTAATCATATGGAGTTGCATTTAGTAGAATAATAATAAACTTCTTGGCGCTATGGTCTTATGGAGATTTTCAAAATGCCTATCATTTCTTGCCTTTGGATTGTTCGTTAACGAACTAACACATCAGTCAAATTAGTTAGATAATATAGTCGCACAAACTCTCCTTTCTCTCATGCTTACCACTTCCACCGTAAGTTCCAAACTTAAAAATATATATAGTTACACAAAAATTAACGGCTCCTCTTCTAAAATCATTCCAAAAACCATAAATGCGAAATCAAATATATAAATGTAAATGCATGTGAGACATGAGTTAAACTTGAAAGCACTAAGAAAGAGAAAAACAAATTTCCCACCATTATATTGTTTCTTTTCAAGCTGCGTAAAGTATGATTATTTGACGGCTGGAAAATCAGGTGGTGGTGTATTCTTTTTTATTTTGTTTTGGTGGTGTATTCTTATACAAACAACAGAGATGAAGAAACACAGTAAGCAAACATTTGATAACTCAAGACACTAGCAACACGTTAACCATCTCAGATAAGTGTGGCAATATTCAATTCCCTTTCTCGATCCACCGCGTAATAGCATAGAACCCACACGAAAAGTACTAGCTGCAGCTACGCTCTCATATTTCAATCGTGGTTACCGACCAGGCGCAGCAGAGTGACACATATAACAAAAAAAGTTCCCAAGAAGATGGCAGAAAGGACACTAAGAAAGTAATGCTAAATGGAAAAAACTAAACAATAAGGCTCTAAAACCTTATGGACAAATTACATAAGTAAAATTACCAATGAGGTTATGTTCTGCACTCAGTGTAACCACTTACATATTTTAAATAAGTAAGATCGCTACCTTTCTCATTCTCACATGCTGAACAGAGGGATGAATACATAGAAAGGCAAACTATTAATGTCAACTATATGTATTCATAATAAAACTAACGTATAGATAAATATAATTGTACAAGTTTAGGTTTCATTCTTACAATATAATAAGAAAACATACTTCTAAACCCATTGGAGCAGACATTTTTAATAGCCTTTAAAACTATTTTTATTATTTTCCTTTCGTTACTTGAGTAGTTTTTAAAAGCCAACAATTTATGGCTTTAGGTTTTTTCTAAAATCACAGACAGTTTTTAAAATCTTAAGTTTCTAAAATATTTTTTTGGTAAAGCAACAGCCACTATAATTGCAAACAATCGGAGTTGATCTATCCTATCAAGTTTAATGAACATGTAAACCCAACTACATTTCACGTAAGCTTATATGAGAATTGTAAGTTCAATAACAAAATTTACAAACTACTAACGTAACTCTTGTCCCATAGACAAAAATATATAATATGGTAACAACCCTTGTAACATTAAAAATACAAACACTCACTTCACATACTTTTGCTTCCTTTCTTCAAAAGTTCAACAATAAATAATTATTATGCTCGTACACAAAAATAAAGACGAATTAATCCGATCCGTTAGCGTATATAATACATAAGCCGTTACAAACACTCACCTCTCGTTCGCGCTCTCTTCTAGATCATCATCATACACCCCGAGTCTTGGCTCGTTCTTGAACAATCTTCATCCTCTTTCACAGAGATCACCGGTGCTTTCTTCTTTCCCTTTCATTATCAGTTTGTAAGATTCGTTCTCAAACTCTCTTTCTTTTACTCTGCATCGCTCCTTTCTCAAAGAATCATCTACAATCTTACGTAGATCACACCAAATAGTCATTGGAATGGGATCATTGACAGCGATTCAGATGTTGGTGCAAGAAAACTTCTCTGAACTCTGCCACAAGGAAAATCAGGGTGACAGAGTAAAACGCGTCTTCCGATTTAGGTCCTGCGATACAGTTTGCACGAGATGTAACTACGATGAGGAGCCTGTTGGATATCTGTTTTTAAAAGCTGATTATTTTTTATTTTCCGGCGACTTTTCCGACCAAACCGGTGGTCGTCCCGATCAGATTATCAGTTCATTGGAAAGCTTGTAACAAGTACTACAACGTGGTGTATTCACACTTTAAAAACATATCAAAATTGAATAAGAAATGATGCAATGAAGTTGGTAGCATAGTGTTTTCATAAACACTGTAATTTTGTCTAAGGGACAAAATTAATACCATCCCACATCGGGGAAATGAAGTGGAGTTGAGTTGTATATATATGCACTCTCACTCTCACTTAATTAAAGAACTCAAAGGAAGAAAGAGCTCTCCACGCGCGTGCCGCCGCCGCCGTCCGGCCGGCTGGGCTCGGGTTCGGGCTTTATTGGAAGGCCTTTGGCCCGATAAGAAGTTATCTTTTTGGACCAAATAAAGCTCAACGCTTTGCCATTTTTAAATTTAAAAACAGCATGACGTGCGTGAATAAACAACACGTAGTTTGTGTAAAAACAACACAAAGTCTACCTGTTTGCAAAACAATTTGAACGAGTCAAATAAAAGAGAAGATCTTGCGGAGAAAGTTTATGAGGTTCCACTCCCGAGATCTCAGTAGATTTTCGCCCACGTGCAGCAGTTGTTGCGGGAAGTGGGTCTTCTCCGTCTCTTTAAATATTGCCTCTCCTCCTTCTTCATTCTTAACTTTTTCACGCAAGTAATCCAACAGAAAAACTCGCAAAGTAAGTCTAGAGAGTGTTTCGTAATTCTTTAGTTCGTTAGGTCGTTTCACGAGTGAAGCGTGATTCGTCTGCCATGGTTGTATCCTGGGACTCGATATTCGTACAGTTTCGTCTCACTACGGAGCGAATATTAAGAGTTAAGGAAAGAGATTTATCTCGCCTCCATGTCTTATATAAACGTCTATTTCCTTAACTCCATCTTTCTTATATCGTCTATGTCGATCTGGTTTTCCGGCTTCTACAGAACCCACAGTTAAGGTAACTCGTCGGGAATGATTTGAGTGAAAGGTGGCACTGGGTTTTGTTTCTGTTATGTGTGTTTCTTGAAATCTGATAAACACTTGTTTCATATACTGTGATTTTACAGGTGTTCGAGTTTAGAAACAGAAACAGCGTTTGGTTGGATGATATAAACAAAAAGGTTGACTGCTCACTTATTCATGTACGAAGTAAGAGTGATGGATCAAGAAGATATATATTAGAGAAACACTTAGTAAACACTGAAAGCCTTTTGATTTTGCAGAAAGTAGAAGCTGATGATGGCAGAGAGCTCATAGGGTTGAAACCAAATCACATAGAATACCACTGTGAAGCAGGTAGCTTCTGCTCTCTAGCTTGTAAAACGGAGAACGTGATGAATCAGTTTGGTACACTTTAAACCATGGATATGATGAACATTTGTGTGAGGAAAAGAGGACAGGGGGCGGAAGAAAGGAGATGTGGGTATATTTCACCGGTTTATTTGGATGATTTTGGCTACAAGGAGAGCAAGGTCTGGAGGTAGACTAAAGAGAATATTTAGGGGTGTTGTTGAGGATCGAAATCTTCCTCCAAAGAAGAGGAGAAACAGAGGAGGGTAATCTAGAAAGAAAGTGATTCCATGCACGCCACAATGCATGATGCACCCACACTTTTTCTTTCGGTCTATATAACTTAGTTAATGATTCTTATCAAACCTCACATTAAGGGAAAAGAAACTAATAACACTTCAAATGGTTAATCACTATTTTAAAATTGATTTTTTTTTCCTCAAATTTTACATTATACATGTTTTTATTTGGATGGCGAAACAGCAATTATGTATATGAAAAAAAAACATTATACCTTTTCCTAAAATAGCACTTTTAGAATTCTCTACTTAAATATCATTAATTGAAATTTTGTATGAAAAATATCATGTTCATAATCAGTTTTTTTTTTTGAAAATTATAAAAATTCACAAGTTGAAGCAAAAATTTATAAAAGTTACATTTTTCATAACTACATAATCACTATCCGTTCCACCCTTTTCTCCCGACCTTTCTTCAATCCGTTAAACCCTTCCACAAAATTAGGGTTTGTCTTCGTCTTCCACTCCTTGGTGGATTGTTATGAAACGATGAATTTGATTTTTAAATCATTGACAAGAATCGAATGCTCTCCTTTTTTCCACTCGAAAGCTTTCGAAATCCCAACCAGAAATCGAATTAACCCTCAGCAAATCCGTTTCTACCCCAAAGCAGTCTCCGGAAGTGGCGGAAAGAAACAAAGAGCCAAGGCGCCGCCGAAAACGCCGGAGGCGGTGACGTCTCGTCCAAATGAGATAGCTTACGAGAAGGAAGCAGCGAATTGGGTGAATCTGATAGGGTATGTGGATCAACCGGTCCAATTCGAGGCTTCTTCTGATGGTAAATGCTGGGCAGGCACTGTTATCTCCCAGAGGTCTGCTTCAGATTCCTCCTCTGCTTTCTGGTACTTGCTCCAGTTTTGTTTTGAATTTTATTGATTTATAGAAAACGCATTGCTTTGGTGTAATTAATTATCTATGATTTAAAAGGTTGTGTCTTTGGTTGGTTGTTATCAGGATTCCGATAATATTTGAAGGTGATTTAGCGAAAACAGCAGAACGATATATAAGTAAAGATGATCTTATCCATGTTTCTGGCAAGCTTTTTATTGATTCTCCTCCTCCGAATATGACTTATGCTCAGTCCAATGTCCAGGTTTGGCCTTGTAAAACACTGTCTTGTTTGGAAAAAACATGTTTTTTAGTTTGTGAAAAAAACTACTGTGTTACCTCTTTATCTCTTTCATGTTTCTTTTGCTTGGTTTCCCCTTGAATCTTTATGTTTTTAGCTTTGTAACCTGTGGTAGTTTGCTCACAACAGGTATTGGTACAGAATCTTAGCTTTGTGCAGCCTTCTTCTCCGCCTCTGGTTATTTCATCATCTAAAAAGGAAGAAAATGGCGTTAAGAAGCAGCCTAGCTCACCGCCTGTGGTTATATCATCATCTGAAAAGGAAGAAAGTGACATTAAGAAGCGGCCTGGTATGTCCCATTTTTTCTTATATCCACCATGTGTTGTTTTTAGCGGGTGCATGTGTTAAGTCTGTGCAAGGCTCTTAGGAAACTAGTTTTTTTTTTTTTTGTTATCTCTTGTAATCTCTGGCATTCAACACTCTGTCTAATGGTTTGATGAAATTTTTTTGACTCTCCAGCTAGAGATAAGAAGAATATAGTTATGGATGAAGCTTCTGATTCGTGGAATCACCTCATTGAAAATCCTAAAGAATGGTGGGATCACCGCGAAAATAAAGCTAATGGATTGGTAAGTCGCCCATGTGCTTAACAACTTATTCTCATCCTATTCCCCTTGTTTTGATATAGTGTTTGCTAAATTTTTTATTGGTTTTTGACTTGTCTGTTATACCTGCATAGGTAAAGCCAAGGCATCCTGATTTCAAAAGCAAGGACAGCAGTCTCTCACTGTGGCTCAATAAGGCTCCTGCTTGGGTTTTGCCCAAACTCGATGGACTTGAGTTTGATATTCTTGTCCCTAAAGGTAGAGGAGTGAAACAACTCAAAGGTAAAGTTCCCATTGTTTTCCTTGTTCATTACACAGATCGTTCATGTATGTTTCTCTGAACCAAATTCTGACCTGAAATGGTGCAGGAGAAGAATCATGGAAGGATTTGGTTGAGAATCCGGATAAGTGGTGGGACAATAGAATTGACAAGGTAGTATGTGGTTTGCTCAGTTTTGTCTTATCAATCTTTGAAAAAAGTATTTATCACATTGGTGTAAATGTGTAGAGAAACGCAAAAGCTCCTGATTTCAAGCACAAGGAGACAGGTGAAGCACTTTGGCTGAATGAGTCTCCTACTTGGGTGTTATCAAAACTGCCACCAGTCAAGAAGAGACAAGAAATCACTGTCTCATAGCCTTTTTAGAAATATTATCCCCTTGTAAAGAGCTCCAGTTGTTACAGAATTAATCATTTCTTTCTAAGTTACGCATCAGAGTTGCTATTAATCTTTGGTCACTACGCTTAATACTAACTAGCTTAATGGATCTGGTTGAAAATCTCAAAAGTAAAATAGGCAGGTTGAATCTTAAAAGAATGATTTGCATTCAAGTTAACTGATGCAGCCAAAAAACGTTCATCAAGCCCAACATAAGAGAAATGGGGATAAAATAATAAACTATGTACTCTAAAATTCAATACTCTGAAAATTCTTCTTATCCAACCGTGTCTCGTACCTTCTTCCCTGTGAAAACTGAAGCAAAGGAACCGATAGGATTAAACAAAAAAAAAAGAAGGAACAGATAAGTAACGAAAATGTGGAAATGTAGTGTACTTGAATGCAGATTCATTTACGGTCAATCACTTACTTGGTAAGATCATGGTTGGCCTACAGGACTACTGTTGTTCCAGTCTCCAGCTGCATTTCTCTGATCAGCCTGTGGAATTGTTTGACTCAGCTCTTGTCCAGGACCAGTATATCCCTGACCATATCTAAGATTGGGATTTCCAGCTCCCGGTGCAGGACCATAGTTTCCATTCCCCTGAGGACTGTAATTCATCGGCCCTCCTTGGTTGTAACCTCTTGTGGCCCTTGACTATAGTTCCTGGTGGTCCTTGATTGTAACCCGCCTGATATGGAGGTGGGGGAGATCGCGGCGGGACTTGATTGTAACCTCCCTGAAATGGTGTAGGGGGAGCTTGAGTTCCTTGTCCTGGAACTCCATAGCTCTGCTGAGGACCACCATAGGCCCCTCCACCACCTTGCATTGGCGGTTGCTGACCATAATGTGTGTTTCTTTGGAAGTTTGGAGGACCACCCCCTTGACGGTCAAATCTCTGATTGAACTTATCACTGGGTCTCCTGGTAGCCTGAATTGGTGGTGGCCTATGTGTGATCACTCCGTTCTCATATTTATCTCCGGAACGAAAACAAGAAAATATTTAAAAAACATAGTAGAGTTGCAAGAATCAGTATGAGAAAGTTCTGCAAAAAACTATGCTCACCTCCATACTCTTTGTTCACGGGATCAATGTATGAATCTGGCAATACGAACACCACTCCGGGTAGATCTGTTCACATGCCTAAAACAAGTGAGAAATCTAGTGAAATCGCTTCTTCAACAGGAAAAGCAAAAAAAAACGCTACTAGAAAGAAGTACACACCCTTGAACTTTTCGGATTCTTGTTCAGTCATTATAGCTTGAAAACCTTGGTACGTTGTTGTGCTACAGGCATACATCTTCTTCCTGGCCTCTTCCAAGCTGGCTCAGCCACAAACACCCAAAGAAAGACAAAAAAAGAAGTCAATATAAGCTGATGTCTTGTCTTAGTTACGAATTAAAGACAAGAGCCCCTCTAATGCACTGCAAATTCTAAATGATCAAAGTAACACAGACCACAAACGCACACACCGACAAACTGATCTGTAATAAAAAGTCAACATAAGGTGATCTCTTGTCTTATTTCGAACAAAATCATCAGTAAACCATCCCCAACAGACACAAACCCATCTAATACATTCCATATCCTAAAATAATCAAAGTAATAGAAACCACAAACGCACACACACACACACAAACAAATATGTAATAAAAGAAGATCAAAATTCTTAAAGACCCAGACTTTGGTAAGAACGAACCTGATACCAAAGCCCAGCGGCGCAAGTTTGCTCGTAGGTAGAGACCATTTCCTCAGGAGACAAAAGTCTTATCCTTAGGGAAATCCATGGTGATTAGCCAGTGATTATAATCACATCCTTCGAATAGAACAGTATCTTCCGTGATTTCATCTCCTTCTTCGTAAAGCTTGTACTGCCTCGTCGAAAACGGCCTCACCGGAGCTCGAGATGAGAAATCGGCGGTTGGAGCAACCGAAGACGGAGAGAGAGAGATTTATCGGCTAAGAGATTAAGTTGCTGTGAGTAACACTCGCCGGAGACGGTGAGAAATCACAGCCATCGCTGCCGGAGAGGACGAGAGAAATGTGGAAGAGGAGTGACGAAATTAGGGCTTTGTGGGGTTAACGACAAGTCAAAAAATAGTAATTACCTTTAAGGCCCTTGTATATTTTATTCGTTTCAGATACACCCCCTTTGTTTTAATTTCAAATAGGCTGAAAACATTATTGAGCCGAAAAGGTTGGGCGTAATGGGCTTTAAGCGCGAATCATATGACCAATAAACGCTGCCGTTTTGAAAATCATTAAATAACGATATCTTCTCCGGTGGCCGTCAAACAATGTGGTCGCCGACGCACGCTTTCCCTTCTCTGGAGTTTCTTCAACTTCTTTATCGTGTTACAGAAACTGTAGACTTCCGAAGATTAACTAATTACCCTCTCGCGAGAAAAATCATGGTCAGAAGTACGTTTATGTCTTTCACTGTTATCAGTACAATCCTTTGCTTCTCGTTAAGATTAGGATATGTTTTAACGGAGCCCAATTAATGTTATTGTGTCTTTAAAATGTGATTGTGTCCTTTGGTTCATGTCCTGACACTTAACACTCATAGTGAAATTGAAATTGGATTTAGTTTCAGTCTGGCGATTTCTGTAAAGCTAATGGTGTTTCATCGCTTTTGCATCTGCAGATTTACCATTTTCTACAAGTGAGGACTTTCTTCAAAAGAAGTTTTCAGCTTTTGACGAGATAGCTTAAGGTGTTTCGTTAACTTGATGTGTTTTGTATGATTACTCTGTTTCTTGCTGTGCAAAGGTATAAGTTCACTCTTTGTCCTTCAAAAACAGTTAAGCTTATCAAAGATGAGGCAATGAAGAGATCAAAAGGTTATGCCTTCATTCAGTTCACGTCTCATGATGATGCATTTCTAGCCGTGGAGACTATGGACTATGGACCGTAGGGTAAAAGCTTCTTTATAGCACAGTTAAAATGGATTAAATTTTAAGAAAATGAGTTAAATTCTCATTAGGACAATGATCAATATGAACAAATGTTGCTTCATTACTGATAAACAATCACCGACACAGTGCCAGTTACAGCTCTGTCAGTTTCTACAACTACCACATTGTTGGAAACATTAGTCACTGCATTTGCAGGAATCTGTCCAGATTGCGCGAAAAACGAATGCTGGTAATGGTCTATCCTGTTAGGGAACACCAAAACAGAGGAAAAATCAGCGACCCATCTCGTCCCATTACCAGAAACTTTAGACCTCCCGGTTGTTGATTTCATCACCATCCCTTCAACGTTGTTCTGATCAATCACAACTTGACCAATCTCATGAAACTCTCCTTCTAGCTTAACCATCGGGAAGTTGTGTTTAGGATCACCACTAAACATGTTGTTAACAATATTTACACCGTTTATCTTCCCATGCACTGATCTCAACACAATGTTCGCATCTCCTAGGAACAAAGCGTTTGTGACATGAACGTGAACAGGATCTTCAATGAATATACCTGTGTAATCAAGGTAACAATTATCTATCCTCGTCAAATGAGACTTCACTAAAATGCCTATTCCACCAAACCATGTAGCTTTATTGTAACAATGCACGCCTGTAACCATATTGGCCTGACCATTCAACAAGATACCAATCCCGGCAGAGAATATCACGACATCAGTAATGGCATTATCAGTACTCGAGATATCGATTCCTGTCCCGGAGAATTGTCTTTCTTGTTTGTCTCCACCTACCGTTGAATGTTGTCCCAAGAAGGTGTTTGAGATGTATGTCTCGTGACCTCCCTGGACTTTGATCCCTTGTGTTGTGAAATGGAGGAAGTAGCAATCTGTTATGCGGATACGAGCTGAGTTGATTACCACAATACCCCCTCCTCTGAAGCTTGAGTCGAATAGAATGTCTTTGAAGGTCACATCCTCAAAGAAGATACCAGAGTTTTGGTCTTTCTGGTCGGAGAATGTATCCTCCGGTGACATTTTCATTGGTTTCCCGGAGTTTGATGTCACGAGTTCAACCAAATGCCGGTCACCGGGAAACACTTCTGATGCCCTGAAAGTCCCTCCTTTTACCTGAATTGTACCCAAGAAAATGAGTCAAGATTCAATCTTATTTTACAACTTTCCTTAACAAAAGTCCTATTTGTTGAAATATACGTAAATATTCAAACTTTATAAAAATATTGTTCGTAATTTGTGTAAAGTTTCTTTAATAAAAAGTCCAATTTGTTGAAATGTAAGTAAAATATTCATTTTTTTTTTGCAAGTTTCATAAGAAAAGACAGAAGGTACAAACCAGGAGATTTCCACCACCAGAGGAAGGGAACCTGAGAGGTTTACCGATCTTGTAACTTCCACCTTGCAGATCAAAAACAACACCTCCAAGATCAGCAACACGTGGCAGCATGTTAAGCTCAGTTTGTAACTGAAAAGCATCGGTTAAAGCTTCAAGTATTGCGTCACTACTGTCTTGTCCACCTGTCGGGTCAGCTCCGTAGCTAATTGGGTATATCACTCTGCCCACCTGCACCAAACCAAACCCATACGCTCACAAAATACATCACACGTGCGTATGTATTTTACAAACTGAAAATATGGGAGATGCTTACCATTTTGGGAAATGGAGAAGGAGGAGAAGATAATGGTGGGAGAGATGGAGTGACTGCGAGTCTTTCTTGAATTTTGTCTTGGATTTCTAGAAGCTTTGTCATGTCTCTTCTTGAGGATGATATCTCATCAAATCTAGATGAAATAGTAATGAGAAAGAGGAACAAGCAAGAAAAGCAATAGAGTCTCATTCTTGTTCTTCTTGATTTTTCACCTTCTTCTGGAGAAAAGGAGAGAGACAATGAGAGAAAGAGAGAGAGTAAACTATGAGTAGTTTATAAAGAAGATGCAGGCTGATAGTGTTTAAAGGTCATTATTTGTGTTGGAAATGTTTGCTTTACTATTCCAATGAACCGGCTCGAATTCCCATTTATTTAACAGAATGATTTTAGTAGGTATTTTTGCTTTATTCACACGAAAATGCAAAGACTAGAAAAAGATCAAGCATGCATGTTGGTAGACAGCTGACGTTCATAAAGTTATAGAACTCTTTTATGACTGGCCAATGGCAAATTATTATTATTCATATAACTTGCTTTCTTAATTTATGTTTTATTATTACAATGTTTTCTTGTTCAAATTATCAGTCTATAATATACTAATAAACATATATTTCATTTTGCTCAAAAAAACATGTATGTCATTTTCCGGTATATATTAACTTTTACCTTAATAAGTTGCCCAAAAAACAATTTACCTTAATCAATTATTTTACATTTTATGCAATTTTATTATGCAAATCTCATGTTCTACGAATTTCTGAAGGCATTAATGATTTTATAAGGATATAAATCTTTGTATTAGACTTTGTTTACAAGCCACGATATTCTTTAATCGTCATAAAGTTTGCTTTCTTCCAAATTATTCATCAGTTATAAGAGAATAATACTTTTAATTTCACCGACCTTTGTGAAGAAAGTAATTAACTTTCTTTATGCAAGAAAATAAAACTTGTAGAACGATTACTGATTACTGAAAAAGATTTAATGGTGGGAATATAAATTAGTTTACTTTAAGGAGAACACCTAAATAAGTAGATGCAGAGCCTTGAAGTCTCCTTCATAGATCTTTCTTCTTTTGTTGCCGACTTTATAGACAACTATTTACATTAGGTTACTTTATTTGATTCTAAATTTCTAATGTAAAGAAACAGAGCAGAGAGTTGTTGGCCAAAAACATAATTGCAGACAGCAGACGTAATAATACTATAAAATTTATTAGTCATTGCATTGAATGTCATCTCTAAGAAACTAATAAATGTATTTTGGCAAATTAAAAGAAGCCAATAAATGTATTGACAAAGTAAAAGAAACTAGTAAATCTCTGCCACCAACTCTTCAACTGCAATAACAAATCTCGAGTTTTTATTTGCTGCTAGCCTGCTAGTAATGAAAAAATAACTTGTCCTGATTCAGAAAAATACAAGAAATCACTAACTATAATTTTTATTATTAACCATTATTACGGCAAAAAGACATGAAAATCAAACTCACTGATCCGCCGTTACAAAAACTTTTGAAGTAATAGGTGCGTTTGTCTCAACGACCATTCGATCACCCGAAACGTTCCTTACCGCGTGAACAAGAACCCCACTACCTTCACTCGCTACAAGTTTGTACTGCACGTGGTTAATCAAATTCGGAAACAACAAAACCGGGTTGAAATCGACGGTCCAAGACGCGCTGCTCCCATAAACCGATCATTTAGCCACTGTCGATCTCGTTGCCATTCCATTCACACTGTTTCGGTGAACGGCCACCTGGTCAACATTCTCAAGTACCTTACTCGTCTGAGCCAATTAAACAATCTGGATCCCATCACCCCACCCGAAAAACATATTGTCAACAATAATAAGCCCACTAACCACACCCTTGATCGATTTCAAAAGAACAAACGCATCTCTTAAGAAAAGTGTCCCAGAAATTAGTAGCTGAACCGGGTCTTCCGTAGTTATATTGGTCTAATCTAAGTACGAGTTCACAATTTGGTTCTGAGTTAAGCCGGGTAATTCCGAATAATACTGGTTGCTTTGTTATAACAATGCACACCAGATTAAATATTCGCAAGTTCTGGCATCATTATCCAATTGTGGCGGAGAATATAACTGTCCAGAATCTAACGGTGTACGTGAAGGCATTATCGTTACCAATTAGATTCACGTTGGTGCTGGAAAAGTTCCTCTGCGTTGACCAATAACTGGGTTTCAAATAAAAGTCTCATGTTCTTTTTGGACAAGGATTCCCGTTGGTGTCTCCGGATCATGAGGTAACAGTTGTCTATGCTTGTTCGAAGAGAGTTTATGACGGCGATTGCTCCGCTGCGATAGTTGCCGTTGATAAGAAGATCTTTGAGATTTATGAATTCAAAGATGTATTAAAACTTTGACGACTCTTCAGTGAATCCGATTAAGAACTTACTGATTTGAAAATCATTTGATGCCTGTAATGTTCATCCACT